CTTTCTTTTTTTTTTTTTTTTTTCTCCTAAAATCTGTTGCTCTGTTTCGTCCTGCACAGCTCCCCGGACAGAGCAGGCTTTGGAAAGACCTTTGTGAGACCGCTTTCCGAGCCAGAGAGGCTGAATCGCCTTTCCTCTCCTTCCAATTCACCTGCTTTTCACGCCAACAGAAACGCCCTTCCAGCTCCAGCACGGGGCGGTCATTTCCCAGCCAGGCTTTTGAACACTAAATTGCAAACTCCGTTGCACCAATCGCATCTGGGTCTGTCTCCAAGAATTCAATAAACAAGCTGTATTAACTCCAACCAGAATTTATCTCGTAGACTGATGGAATTCGTCTTTTTTTTTCTTTTACTTCTTCTGCTTCTTTTTCCCTCAAGGCCTCATATTCACCACTCAAAATTTAGCAGCCTGCCTTTGATAAATTACTCAAAGTAATCCCTGCAACTGCTAAGTCTGACTGGTTGACGTTGCGTTAGAAGTCTTCATAGCGGTATCTGTCTATAAAATATTCACTTGCGGACTACAAAGGGTGGATCATTTTTAATGACAAGATTCAGAACTGGAGGATGAAGGGAAAAGATTAATATCCGTGAATTCAAATAATTTAATTTCAAATACTGAACTTAGAACATTATATCCCACTAGTTTAAACACTGATGCAGATAAAATAGCAGATTCTGAGATGAATGAAGCGGCCAGAAGAATAGAGTTGTGGGGAATGTTGGAAATGAACATTAATACAAACTTTACAGGAACTTTTTTTTTTTATTCTACACCTTTCTACGTTCTGTCTTCTGGGATAATCAGTACTCTAGCAGGGCAAAAACGTACATGATATTACACGTACACGTGTGTATATCTATATACGCAGGGAGGGAGTTTTTTTTCTCTAGAGATAGGTGGAGAAATCTATTTAGATAGAGGATTTTAATTTCAATGGGTAATGTGAGCTTGTGCAATCAAAGTTATCAATTTCTGTCCTTTTTGTTTAGATTTCTTAGTTAAATGTGTTTGTTATATCTACCCCGAGGAGAAGCAACTTGAAAGTGTAGCTTTTGAGTCATCTTATAAATACATCCCTGAGGCTGCGGTTCTTGCCGCTTTAAGCAGTTTTCATTAAAGCAGCCAGCTGCCTCTTTGTGTAGATTGGATTTTTTTAAAGCAATCACTTGTGAAGCCCCGGCCTCAGTTTTGTCTCTCCGCAGGCCCTTAAAGTTGAAGTTTCATTCATGTCTTGGGGGTCTCCGCCGAATCAGACTCCTCGGAGCAACACTGGAAAGAGCCACACGAAAGCACAGGCTTGAATACCTCATAGAGAAAGGTTAAAAAGGAAGCAGAGATCAAAACAATCCCATCTCACAAAAGGTGCATTAAATGCGCCCCAGCAATAAGCACAAATCTTCCAAGTTGGCCTTTAAAGCGAGCACCAGGAGTCTCACGTTTATTGCACCCAGCAATTCTCTGAGCGACTCTCCACGTCTTTGCACTCCTGGAGCATTTCCTCCTAAAACAACATCTAATGGGTAGATAATAGAGACGCGGAAAGGAGGCGCGGGGATTTCTCCCCCTCCTCCTTTCCTTTCAGCTGCGTGAGTCTATCTCAAGGTTTGGAGAGCAGAGTTTGAAAAAAAAAAAAAAAAAAAAAAAAAAAAGCTTTTCACCTCTAAACACAACAGGCATATGCAAATACATATTCCCCACCCTGCAGCCGCACGCATCCAAAGGCGCAGAGGAGCGCGCGTTTGGGGAGCGCTCCCCCAGCCCCCCGAGCCGGGCAGGCTGACGAGCGGCGGCTGGAAGCCGAGGCTCGCTAGGAACGAGCCGTGCTCTTGTTTTGCTGCTGGAAATTCAGCTTTCTCTCCGGCACGCACGGAGTTGAAACACCAGGGAGTCCAACATCTCGTCAGCCGGAGCCCGCCGCGGCAGCTGGGGCGGGTGGCGGGCAGGGGACCCCCAGGTGGGGATCGGGGGGGGGCCGGCGGGGGGCGGCCACAGGACCCCCGCAAGCCGCCCGCGTCCTTCTGGATGCACCTGATGTGTATGCAGCACCTCGCCTCCCAGCCAGGACTCAGCTCCAGTTAAGTGGCGCTCTATGTATTTTATAGCGAATATTCTCGAGTAGCTGCACTGCAATGAAGGAGATATCAAGGAGGCCTGTCAGTTCAAAGCTTTTGGGGTTGTTTGAAAATCTTCTTCACGTCAAAGTAAGCAGCCCTAGTATTTGAACAGCTGCTTTGAACAGTGAAAAGGGCTGAGCTGAATCAAAACACTGCAGTGTCTGCCCAAGACACCGCATCACCTTCAACCTGCTTTTATGCGAGCAGAGAAAAGGAAAGAAAGGCTGGTGAGACCTCTAATCCCGCGGGGTCAGCTCCGCCAGAAAGGGGCCACATGACTGTCTCTTTTACATCCCTAGCGGCCCGGACCCGAGCGGCGAGCAGAGCCCGAGCCCGCGGCGGGCAGCGGCGAGGCGACAGCACCGGCGGTCGGGCGCTCGCTCCCCGCTCCCCGGCGCTCCTCTCCACGGGGGGAGACGGGAGCGGAGGATGCTTAAGGAGCGGTATTAATGACAGGGCTAACAATGATGGGGAGGACGAGGAGGTGGAGTCTGCGGCGGCTCTGAATGCACCGGCCGCGCTCCTCGCTGCTCCCAGCTGCGCCTCCGTGGGCGTGCGCTCCGCCGGGGAGGGGGCAGCAGGGACGGCGGGGGACTCTGCCGGGGACAGCGGGGCTTGTCCGCCTCCCACGGCCGCGGTGCTACTCCGGTAGCTGTGATTGCCGCTGGCCCGTGAGATGCGCCGCTGGGGCAGCGGGGGAGCGGCACGCAGGACGGTGCCCGTAGTGGGCAGCACCTGCCCGAGGGCCGGGCGGGACAGACAGGGCCGGGGAGGGAGGACGGGAAATGCACGACTGGGTCAGGCCCGGAGGGGTTTTCCCCCTCCCAGAAAAGTGTTGGGTGAATCTCGCTGACCCCGTGTCCCGTCTGCTGGTGGCGGCGAGCCGCGGGGAGCGCGGGGCCGTCGGCTCCCCACGGGGAGCAGCTGTCCGTGGGGCGGGCACACGCCGTGGGGCCGGGGCACCAGGGAGCGGCCTCGGGGCAGCTCCGTGCTCGGCGAGCACCGCACGCTGGAGGCGCCCGCGTGAAAACCTCGCTCTGAAAAGGACGCGTGGCGTGGTGGCCCCTCGTGTCTCGTCCACGCAAGAACTTTTGGCAGCGGAGCTGGAGGCGGGCTGGAGGGAAAGCCGCCCCCGGCGGAGCTTCGGCGGCCCCAGGAGCGGGCGGGAGGGCTGACCCGGGCGCGGAGAGTGGGGCGGCTCTCCCAGGACGGTCCCCGCGATGCCTTGGCAGAAGCCTGCTGCGGACTTGCCCTGTTGTTTTGTTTCAACTCACTGGTCTACACCTAATTGGGAGGAGAGAGACGAGAAAATGAGCATCGAATTATAAAATTCCTGGGTGCCCAGTTGTTTACACACGGGAAACAAAAGGCACAGCTTCACTTCAGAGACACTGACTTCCCTCTCCGCAACCCTCGCAGAAAAGGCAGTATTGTTCTTTCCTTCGCCTGCACCTCGAAGAAAGGGGTAAAAAGACCCCCAAACCTTAGGAAGAATCTCCACTCTTTCACGGACAAAGTTTGCGCCCCCCTCCTCCTCTCCTCCTCCTCCTCCTCCTCCTCCTCCCTCCTTCCCCTCCCCACCCCCCGGCAGAAGGAGCTCTTGATACGCCGCTAAACTAACGAAACGAGGTAACTCCTGCTGCGCCCCTTGTCTCAGGGCACTGGATATCCTGTTTATGCTGCTGCTGTGTATATGTTTATGTGCAGGAGCCCATCCCCCCTCTCCTCCGCACCCCCACGCAGAGGAATATTTCCAGGCAAGGAGCCCTTCCAGCGCTCACGCTAAACACGATGATTTATAAACAACTCGCAGAAGAAAGCTGTTTCTTGTTAGTAGTAATAAATTCCCCGGTCCGCCCTATTGTGTTATTTCGATGAAGATAGTGGGAGCCTGCGACGCGCACCTAGCCCCGTGAGCAGTTTATTTTCGAGACAAAGCTATGGCTTTCAGCTCAAAAATGGGCAGCGAACTCTTTTGCGTCGGCCAGCCCGGCGCTGCTCATTCCTAAGAAATCCGAATCCAGTTCCAGGGTCTCCTTCCTTCCTGTCCGGGCCGCAACTTCTTTTCTTTTCCCTATCCCCCTCTTTTTTCTCTATTTGTTTTTTCCTTTTCCCACCACCCTCTCATGCCCTCTTCCGCATCCACGCAGAGTCGCCAGCGCCGCTGAGGCGGTCCCGCAGGCACCCGGTCCCCACGGGACGGGACGAGCGGAACAAAACCACCTCCGCAGCGCCGAGGTGCGAAGCCCCGACATCCCCGGAGGAGCGGTGCGCCCCGGCGACCACGGAGCGCGGGGAGCGGGGCAGGGCCGGCGGACGGGCAGGGGGCCGCCCGCTCCCCGCCCCCGGGGGCGCGGCGCTCCCGGGCCGCTCCGGCGGGGCTGGCGGCGAGGCGGCGCTGAGAAAGTTGGGGGCGGGCAGGCGAGCACCCCCGGCCCGCAACGCCCGCTCCGGGGCGCAGAGACGCGCGTCGGGGCGCGAGCAACAGGAGCCGGCGGGCGCCCGGGCAGCGGCAGCGGCAGCATCCTCCCGCCGGCCGTGCGGTGCGGTGCGGAGCGGGGCGGGCCGAGGCGGGGCCGGTGACAGCGGCGGCGGCGGCGCGCCCCTGCCCTCTGCCGCGCTCCCCCCGCCCCGCGGCCGCCGCTCCCCCGCGCCCCGTTCCCCCTCGGAGTTGGGTCGGAGCGGGGGCGGGCCGGGGGCGGGGCCGGGGCGGGGCGCGGCCGGCGGGACGCGCCAATGGCGGGCGGCGGCGGGGCCGGTCGCCGGGAGCGGCGGCGTCCGTCAGGGCGCGGGGAGCCAATGGCGTGCGGCGGCGGGGCGGGGCGGCCGCGCGTGCCTTCGCAGTGGGCCCCGCCGCGCGGGCCGGGGGGGCGCGGGCGCCGCGCGGCGCCCGAGGCGAAAAAGTAGCTGTCAAATGCGCGGCGCCTTTAACCGGCGCGATCAGTGCGGCTCGGCGAGTCATGGCGACCGCAGCCTCCAACCACTACAGCCTGCTCGCCTCCGGCTCCCCCATGGTGCACGCCGAGCCGCCCGGCGGCATGCAGCCCGGCGGCGGCTACCGCGACGCCGGCGCCCTGGTGCAGGCGGACTACGCGCTGCAGAGCAACGGGCACCCGCTGAGCCACGCTCACCAGTGGATCGCGGCGCTGTCCCACGGCGGCCCCGGCGGTGGCGGCGGCGGCGGTGGCGGCGGCGGCGGGGGCGGCGGCGGCGGCGGCGAGGCGCCCTGGTCGGCGGGCGCGCTGGGCCAGCCCGACATCAAGCCGGCGGTGGTGCAGGCGGGCGGGCGCGGCGACGAGCTGCCGCCGCCGCCGCAGCACCCGCCGCCGGGGCGGGCGCCGCACCTGGTGCACCACGGCGGCGGCGGCGGAGGGCACCACGCGGCGGCGGCGGCGGCGGCGGCGGCAGCGGCGTGGCGGGCGGGCGGCGCGGCGCACCTGCCGCCCGGCATGGCCGCGGCCAACGGCGCGCAGGCGGGGCTGCTCTACTCGCAGCCGCCCGGCTTCACCGTCAACGGGATGCTGGGCGCCGGGCAGCCGGGGCTGCACCACCACGGCCTGCGCGACGCCCACGAGGAGCCGCCGCCGGGGCCGCCGCACCACGGCCCCGAGCACCCGCCGCCGCCCCACGGCCCCCACCCCGGGGCGGCCGGGCCGGCACCGTCCGCCGCCGCCGCCGCGCCCCCCGGGCCGCCGCCGCACCACGACCCGCACTCCGACGAGGACACGCCGACCTCGGACGACCTGGAGCAGTTCGCCAAGCAGTTCAAGCAGCGGCGCATCAAACTGGGATTTACCCAAGCGGACGTGGGGCTGGCGCTGGGCACCCTCTACGGCAACGTCTTCTCGCAGACCACCATCTGCCGCTTCGAGGCCCTGCAGCTCAGCTTCAAGAACATGTGCAAGCTGAAGCCTTTGTTGAACAAGTGGTTGGAGGAGGCGGACTCCTCCTCGGGCAGCCCCACCAGCATAGACAAGATCGCGGCGCAGGGCCGCAAGCGGAAAAAGCGCACCTCCATCGAGGTGAGCGTCAAGGGCGCGCTGGAGAGCCACTTCCTCAAGTGCCCCAAGCCCTCCGCCCAGGAGATCACCTCGCTCGCGGACAGCCTACAGCTGGAGAAGGAGGTGGTGAGAGTGTGGTTTTGTAACAGGAGACAGAAAGAGAAGCGCATGACTCCCCCGGGAGGGACGCTGCCGGGCGCCGAGGACGTGTACGGGGCCAGCAGGGACACGCCGCCGCACCACGGGGTGCAGACCCCCGTGCAGTGAACTCGCGGCGGGGGCGCCCGGCCCCTCCTCCTCCTCCTCCTCTCCTCCTCCTCCTCCTCTCCTTCCCCCAACTTTTGATTGTCCTTTTTTTTCTTTTTTTTTTTTTTAATTTTATTTTCTCCTATCTTTAAAAAAAAAAAAGACAAAAAATCAAAAAAAGAAACAAACGCGAAAAAAAAGAGAAAAGAAAACAAAAAGCGAGCGAGCGAGAGGGCGAGCGCGAATCACAGCGGACAGACAGATAGACAGACAAAGCACCTGCACCACACCGTCCCTTAGACTGTAGGAGGTGTGATGCTGAATTTTGACCTTTCCAGGCGGGTGCCCGTGCACGGGAGTGGAGTGGGTACCGCGCACCGGCAGGCAGGCGGGCACCGGCAGGGCAGCGGCGGGCACCGGCAGGGCAGCGGCGGGCACCGGCAGGGCAGGCGCAGGGCGAAGCGGTTCGCACAAAACTCCCTCGCTCGCTGGCCAAAAGAGACGGCGCTGCCCTGCCGGGGAGGGGGCGGAGGAGAAAGGGGGGCACGGCCACCTCGGGTCCCCTCCGTAGCCCCCTCCCGCCACACAAAGGCAGATCGCATTGTGGAATGTCGCTCGGTGTTGGCACATGCTGCTGTGTTTATTTTCTGTGGATCCCCTGTATGAATATATGTAAAGACAAAAAAAAAGGAAAAAAAAAAGGAAGAGAACTGAAAAGCTATCCCTTTTGATGTAGACAGTATTTAACCGTACCAATTTGCACTGCAAGAAAATCGAAGTTTACATAAACAAAATGTTTATTTTTTTCTTTTTTCCCCTTTCCTTTCCGACCTTAATTTTGCAAATGACTTGCATTTTCCACAGTGAGCGTTAGTCAACCAGTGACCGGTCTACAATATGTTACTGTGTTTTAGCCTTTGCTTTATGTGTATATGTGAACTTTTGTTATAAACAAGTATTCTTAAATACGTGTAACGCTTATTTTCTCCTTTTACCATAGCAAAAAGAATTAGTATATGTGTGTGTATGTATACATGTGCACGCTTGCACAGGCATACATCTATACACATATATATTATCTCTCTATATACACATATATATGCACCTCCAGCTCCCATTCTCCAGAGATGTGACTCTCGTAATTGTTTAATACACGCCTTCAGTGGCAAGAGTCGAGTTTGGAGAAAGGAGAATAATGCAAATCAACAAAGTAAACTTCATTTTCAGGCAGTGTGTCCGGGGGTCGAGGCGCAGCCAAAGGGGGAGGAAAGGAATACGTGCAACCCTTCCAGACCGTGTCAGTGCGGGCCAGCAAGGCCTGGAGTGGGAAGGCAGAGAGGGAACAACGTGTTTCCAGAGTTTTCCCAGAGAAAGTGGCATTTCCTTGAGGGGGAAAGGGAATTATTTATCTCCCCCACCACCGCCCCCTCAGCGCCCTTTCCTTCCCCTCCTCCCCCCCCCGCGTGCCTTTGGCATCCCCGGTCTCGCCTCCCGGGCCGATATCAGCCTCTAAACTTTCTTTTATTGAGCAGTTTTATGTCCAGGCAGAGCCAGGGAGAGCCCGAGGAGCTGCTGGGCCCGAGGTGGGGGTCGGGTGCTTACACCTGCCTGTAAACACGCGCTGCCCCCTCTTCTCCACTGAGACCGTGTGCATTTCTTTTTCACTTTACTTTCCGTATTTATTTTATTTTCTATTTGTATTCAGCCCCTCTCCCTTCCCATCCTCCCCTTGTCCTTTGGTCAGATTGTGGTATAATTTATTGAAGGAAAGGACCAGTTTTAACTTGGGCAGCCTTGTGTCTTTCACTGGGGAATGAAATGAAGTGGGAAAAAATGCCATTTTTCAATCCGTGTTTCTCACCCCCCCCCCTCCCTTCGCTAATAGTTTTAAAGTGCATTTCGTGACATTATCTTGATGAGAAATGGTTAACTTTCCAAAATAAAAAAAGTGGAAAAACCCACGGGGACAAAAAAGAAAACAAATGGAAAAAAAAAAGGAAAACAAAAAGCTCTGAAGGGAAGCAGAGGAGCGGGACCTCGGAGCAGCGCATGTATGTGCGTGTGTCTGCGTGCGTGTTTGTGTACTTATGCACACACACAGCTATGCATATACATTAGAGGGACTTTATGATAGTTATAAATTCATAAAGGGATCATTTAGTCAGCACAAACGGGTGCTATAGAGACAAAGCATTTTTATAATCTAAAAGTTTACTTAGTTGAGTGTTGGACAATTATGGAGAAAAAAACAGTGAAGCATTCTCTCGCAGAACTCTCCTATAAATATTGCATTCAGTAGCTAAGGCTTTAGAATATGTTTCTCATTGTCTTTTAAAATGCCTGTGACACTGGGTTTTCTTTCCTTCTTTCTTTCTCCCTTTCTTTCTTGCTTGCTTTCTTTCTTTCATCTTGGTAAGACAGATGATGATTTCTAAGAGGCACATGCATTAGCCTTTTTCCTGGTTTTCCAACAATTGTTAAAAAGATACGGGCACCAAGCTTTTCTCTTTTCTTTCTTTTTTTTTGGGGGGGGGTTTGGTTTTTTTAATTTTTTGTTTGTTTGTTTATGTGTTGAGCTGCTTGTTATTTAAAGTGTTGAGGACTAGCGCCTAGTGAAGTGAATCAGATCAGGGCAGATCCAGTGGTAAAGGGAGGAAATGAACTTTCAGACACTTATTAATATGTGCGTAAGGTCAGACAACGGAGTTGAGAGGATGTTTGAGAAAGCCTCAAACTCCAAATAGGTTTACTAAAAAAAAAAGTTACCAAGCAAACCTTACCACTATGTATATATGTTTAATATTTGTCCTTTGAAATGCAGAAATAGTTTCAATGTTTTCTTTGTCTATTTTTCTTTTTTTTTTTTAAATGCTACCCAGGGAAATATTTTCATATCATTTTTAAGTGGCCTGCCTCAATGTATATTTATTTCTTTTAAAGCAAACAGGTTCTGGAAACTGTTTTTCTGTAGCTTTAAATGAGTAGGTGAACAAAATCTATATGGGATGTAATTTTTTTTTTTGTTCAGTCTCTTTAAAAATACTTTGTTTTGGTACATTTGGATGTGCTTGTGGGGAAAAATAAAAACGCAGAGATCCTTATATATTTATGTTAAAGTAATATTTTATTATCTACATAAAACAGAAATGCACAATACCTTCATAGTTTCTTCTAATTATTGAAATATCGTTATTTTATTTTTAAAGATAGCACAGATTTGCATAGTTCTTAAGATCTGGAGGGAGAAAACCCCAGTACTTATACGGAGCTGAGTTCTGTGTAAAAGCACCGCCGTTCCTTTCTATTTCATGGATTTTTTGGAATAAATTTGATGCCTATACCGAGAGGTTCCACGCTTATAACTTTGAGGGTGGTGAAGGAGAGCCTCGGGAGCTGTGTTCATTGTGTCTCTCGGCCGATGAACCACAGCCGTGTGTGTTTTGGAGCATTGATTTCTGTGCGGGCAGGGCTGTCCTGCCTTTGGTGCTGCTGGGGAGATCTCAAGTTTTTTGCATGCTCTGGCGGAAGGCACGGGGGAGAAGAGGTTCGACTCTTCTCGGTCCCTTTTTATAATTTAACATCTGACTCCTTAAAAAAAAAAAAAAGAGAGAGAGAGAGAGAGAGAAATAAAAAAAGCAAAACAAAAAGGCGGGGCTTATTGATGGGAGTACCGTTTGGAGGAGGAAGGGAGAGCGCGGTGCCCAGCGGGGCTGCGCTCCCCCGGGCCGGGCCGGGCCGGGCGGCGGCCCCGGTGTCGCGTTCGGTGTCGGCGGCTCCGTGCGGTGGCGGGCGGGTCGGTTCGGCCGCAGGGTCCCGGCCGGGGACCGAGGCGCTGGCGCTGACAGGAGACATCGAGTGCGCGGTGTCCCCACTCGTGTTCGGGTCCTTGGCTGGCTCGGGTTCCTGAGCGCGATACCCTGCTCTGCTCCCCCCTCCCCTCCTTCGCGATAGCTTCCAGGCTTATTAGATTTAATCATCTTTTCTAACTTCTAGTCAATATTACACTCATCCCGAACAGATTCAGCTAAATGATCTTATCAATAGTTTCGAAGAGAAGTGACAGAAAGAAGAAGTGTTTTGTGACCGCAGACGTGCTGACGGGTAAAATGTTGGAGCTGGGTATGGATTTAGAAGTCCTTGGTCAATAGCCCGCGGAACGGGCTGCGGAAAGCGAGCAGCCTCTGCCCTCTGCAGGACACTCGGGTGGGCGCCCAGGGAATATTTCGCCTTTGGCGGCGGGCCCCGCTCCCGGGGAGCGCTCCCGTCTCGGGCGGGCAGGAGGCGATGGCGCGGACGGTGCCGGTGCCGGGGCAGGCCGGACGCGGGGATGGCGGCTCCGCCGGTGGCGGTGGCGCGGCCGCCGCTGCTCGGGGCAGGCCCGGCCGAGGTGCCGGGGCTGCTCCTCCGGGGCTCTGTGCCCGGAGACAGGCTGACCTTACGGGAGAGACTTCGCTCGTCCTTCCGGACTGGTTGTGGCTAGGCCGGCTGGTTCGGGGGTCATTCTTTTTATCGCTTTCGATCCCTCTTTTAAGAGAAAGGAGAGGGGGAAATGGAGCAGCCATAGGATGCTCCTTCTTCAGATGGATGTCAGGATGTGCGGCGGCTCCTCGGGCTCCCTCGCTCTCATTTCCAGTCAGGGACACTCTGTCGTAGGTCAGATGTCAACAACAAAAGCCCTGTTTCCTCGGTTGTCTCTCTCTGGTGGAGGCCGAAACTGGGAGGCGAGAGGAGAGTGAATATCCTCAAGTCTGTCAGTCCTGATTGTCACCCCCGGTGTCCCCAGCCCTGCAGGGGCCAGAGGCAGCAGTCGGTGCTGCCCGGCCCGGGGAGCTCCCGCCGCCGCCCAGCTGCGCCGTCTTTCCTGAGGGAGGGCACTGGGGGCCGGGGTTTGGAAAGAGAGAAGCGGAGGAAGGCGAAATCATCCTACAAATCCCCCAGGCTGGCCGGGATGGTGTCGGGCCTGGCGTCACTCTCGGGCTGGGCAGCTGTGCGAGCCCCGCTGGGGGCAGAGGCCGCGCTCTCCGTCGGGCTTTGCTGGCGGCAGTTCGGGGCTCCCCATGTCCCTTCTCCAGGGCCCCGGCTCCTCTGGCCGTGGCCGGGCCGCGGGGACAGCGAGGGACGGTCCCGGCTCCCTGCGCCCTCCCGGCCCGCGGCCCCGGCCCTGGCCCCCGCCTGGGGCTGCTCCGGCCCTCCGTGATCCGATGGGGGAAAGCCCTGCAAGCCCTGCGAACCCTGCAAACCCCGCAAACCCTGCTAACCCTGCAAATCCCGCAAACGCTGTCCCCGGGCTGCCTAGCCCTGCCTTCCGGGTTGTCCCAGGCCGCGCTGTTGGAGGTTTGGTGGCTCTCTGTTGCTCTGTCCCCGTCGATGAGGGGGACAGAGAGGCGACCCGGCCGGGGAGGCTGGCGATGGCCTCCGGTGGGCGATGA